TTGTTGCACATTAATGTGTAATGTGTCATTCAAATATTAATAAAGTATAACGAAACAGTCTCATCATAAAATATTTTAATTCCCCCTTTTAAATTGCACATTTTACAAACTTTTCCCTGAAGTTTAAATTTGACAATGAATGATCATCTAGATATATATATATATATACATGCATATGAATGAACTTACCCAGCATGCAATGTTAACTGAAATCTAGCATAATGATACATGCTTGAATATTTATAATTTTTACATCCAACAATACATAAGAGTTAAAACATGTGGCTCTCTATAAGACACAAAATGTCACAATGTTCATATACCCTTGTTGATTGCTATTTTTTTTCTTCAGAATTTTAAAATTTGTTGTGAATTTGAAAAAAACAAACAATATAGGACTAAACATACAAGATTTAATCAGAAATTATTATGTTGGTCAATAATGTTGATTGTCTGACATGTTCAGCACTAGTTATTGCATCCTCGGCAGCAAATTCACTCAGTGGCAAATTGACTCAGTGGCAAATTCACTCGAACACAAACTAACATCAGTGAGGGCGCAAGAACTATCGTTGACATGTCAGGCTAAAATGTTGACAGCAATAACAGTTTTTAAGTTTGACAGGCACAAGCAGACAGTAATAATAATTTATTTGCGCAAGTTAACAAAACCCCATGGTGGTTAGAGGGTTATTATACTTGAATTGGAACCAGCTCAATTTATATCAATACGACATAGTAAATTGAAATGACTGCACACACCACAAGATACAGTGCCCTTTGGAGGCATATACATATGCGTAATTCCATTAATTCGAGGATACTTGAAATTATTTTGTTCAATAAACACTTTAACCAAAAAAAAGGAAGTTTGCTGACAAGTTAGAATCATTCTATTTTACTGCTGTCAACCAATACGTTCTGATGACCAACAACAAATAATTTATTACACAACATTAATAATTTTAATGTTAAAGCTGGTAAAGATGGATTGTTGCTAAGCAACATTTTTTTCAAAATGGTAAAAATATTATCTTTCTGTTTTGGACAGTGAACTTTGTATATAAGCGAGGCGCATTTTATATAATATTACTTCCTGTATAGGAGTAGCTGTGTCTATGTAGAAAGAGTTTATTAATCCTTCTAAAGTCAAGATCTTCTATGGCACAAACATTTATATTCACTCAGTAATATATCACAAATACAGGATTAGGATTAGTGTGCAGTTAGGGAGTTCACTATGAAATAGTGTGTAGTTAGGGAGTTCACTATGAATGGCGTGCAGTTAGAGAATTCACTCTGATATGTGTGCAGTTAGGGAGTTCACTATGAAACAGTGTGCAGTTAGGAATTACACTAACAGTGTATGGAGGTAGCTTCCCAATGGGGCATTGCATTATAGGATATGTGCTTATGGATTAAGACAGTTATAGGGCACACCTCACCCTCACCTTCACCCTCACCCCCCGCTCTAATTTCGCCATTGCAACAGTTGGCACTGATAATCTTTAGATGTTAAAGTGGAGTGTACTGTCCAAATTCAGCATCATAACAAACAACTACGAAAATAGAGATATACAATGTATTATACTTCAGATTGTTCCAGTCCTATACCGAATAAAAAAATTACAACACATCACCATTCATATAAAATTCAGATGCCTACAATTATTGCAAATAAAACGTCATATTATCTATCAGCTTCTGATTCCACAAGGTTCTCATTTGAAACAGCTTTTGTTGGTGCTGGAAAATCATCATCAAATTTCAAGTCAGAGTCTCTCGTCTCTATCTGCACCTCCGTCACAAATTCATTACTGTTCCCAGAATTATTTGGTGGACTGTTTTTTCTGGCGGCAATAATCTCTGTATGTTCAGCATCCAACATTGCAGGGTCATCATTGCTGCCCACAAAGTCAGATTCCGAGATTTCAGCACCGACAAAATCTTCTTCCCAATCAAGGTCCAAACCAGTATTGATTTCACCTACAGCTTCCCGGGCAAGATCCAGGACTTCTGCTTCTGTGACTTTCTTTTCAGTCATAGCGTTTGCCACACTGTCCATACCTTGTGGTGAGAAAACAGAAGTGTCAGGACAAATAGTAACTTTAATAGTAAGTAAGAAGTAACTTTATTTTCTGAATAACAATAATGAATGACCAACAATGCAGAGATGATTGTGAAAATAAACCCCATTATGTTAATGTAAATTATTGTTACAATGATATTAATATGTGTTGTTACTGTTTACTTTGACAAGGTTTACATCCTAAACCTGACCTGTATGTAGTACAGACATCATAGCCTTAGAGAATGACTGTACATATTACTACACACAGACACACGAATGATTAAAAACAAATATTCAAATCTGTTACATTCTTCATGGGAAGTGCTCTACATTACATTTACACCAACAGCAGAAATGTTGCATGATTTTTTGCGATGCCTTGATTTGAAACTAGAGCTGTTTTACCCAGTTTTTTTTTCATACAATATCTTAGTGCAGAAACTGAGCACATAGTAATATGAAGTATATAACATAGTATATAACAATAATAATCACAAACTCAATAGATCTTGATGAATTTGGAAACAAAATAATAATTTAAATGATATCACAAAATGTAAATTCACTTCAAATACTTGTGTAAGTTATGAATTAAAATGTTGAAGATCAGTGTTTGAAACTACTGCCCGCCTGTACGCCGGGCACAGGTAACTATTCAGTGGGGCTGATGAAAATCTCAAGTTACTAACCCTGTGGTTGGGTAGATTTTTGAGAAAATATTACTTTTTACAAAAATCACAAAATGGTATGTATGGATGTATGATTGTTGTCAAAATTATGTCTGATGCGATTGTTTTGATTTGTGCAACTCATTTTTTTAGGAATCAGGACTTCAGTAATGAACCATAAAGTAAAATGCGACTCCAAAGAGGCGATAGGTTGTATGATAAAATCAAAAGAATACGAAAAATTTTCCCATCAGGGAAAACTGGATGATTTCCAATGATACTGTCAACTAGTAGACAGTGTATTGTGAAGTATTATTGAATTGAATTGAATTGAATTAAAGTCACTGCAGTGACACTGATTGAATGAAATGTGGTAAAATGATTAAATTTTTAGCAGCCCCGTTGTCTGGTAAACCATTTTGACAAATTTCAAACACTGTGAAGATGCAAGATACATTCTGCTAGCACTGTTACCATAAAATGTGCAATGATTTAATGATTTAATGGTGTGAGCTTAGCATGAATACATTAAAGTATACTTTGATCATACATTGTATGGTCTGAACCACAGTCTGAACATAACTTATAACTTCCAAGCTGTCTTTTCTTTTTCAAAAAAACTAGTATAATTTTCATTATTAATTACAAATTATTAATATGAGGTATATTTATGCAGATTATTCTATAGTTATATGGTTATTTTTGAACTAAATGTTAAATTATGCTCTGATTGTATTTTATGGTACAACAATTTACAGTGTATTTTTTTTTCAAATGCCATCATTGATGTTTTCATTATTTAGATAATCTTATTATCAGTTTCACACCTGTAAATAAACATTTGACTCTTTATGTTGAAAAAGAATGAGTGTAATTTTATTTGTGAATTATTCCTGGCCATACCAACACTTATTTATTCAGTGTCTCAAAGTAGACAGAGGGATAGTCAAAGTTCAAATGTATGTAATTATTTTAAAGTCCAAAGTGCTCCAGTCAGATATAGTCCGCCCTCATCTTTTGGGTGTTTGAAATTGGCAATTGTATAACAATCTTTCAATCAGCTGGGCTAAGGTTCTGATATTGAAATCGCCAACTTTGACGACAGTTATAATGATTTTAAATGGCATCTGTATGTCTGCATTTGTATGATATAGTTATAGGATTCTTGAATGCACTACTTTAACTTTGGAAGTGTTAGTGATGCTAGTTGAATATGAAACTCACACAGATGGAATTGTTGCTTTCACTGAAAAACCTTTCACCGGGAGAATGGATGAGTCACCAAATTTACAAATGTACATACATTTTATGAAACACAACAAACTATGATATAGGACTGATGCTTTTATCACAACTGAAAAGAATGCCATGTTATGACAGCTGATGTCCCTCCCCCAAGCCATTTGACAGACTTGCCACCACTTTCCACCAGACATGTGCTACACAGTAATGCCGTCACCAAGCCAAGCCATTTAATATACATGAAACCACTGTCCATCAAACAACACAGTAATGCCGCCACACCACCAAGCCATTTGACATGTACGCCACCTCTTTCCACCAGACACTACACAGTAATGCCACCACTAATCACACAAATACCACCAATCCATTCACCACACCACTTGCATTACCTTCCTCGTGGTCCCATTCCAGGTCGACAGTAGATGGACTAACACGTCCATCATAGTCACTAGTGGTGCCAATACTAACAGATCTATAGTAGTTATTATCATGGTCACTATAGAAGGTACTAACTGTGCATGCAAAAAAAGGATAATAGACATCACAAGCTTAGTTAGTTTAATGGGAAAGTGCAATTACCCATATATCCATTGTACTACTATTAACTTAAGAACAACTCTTTAGTTTAATTATTTCCCTAATGATTGGCAACCAGTTTAAAATTGTTGGTGACTAACTGGAAAAATTAATAGCCAAGTACAAAATTGTGAGTTGCCAGAGTTGATTTTTTTACAAATACATTAAGAAACACCAAATATATTAAAATTTAGATACTGCAGATAGGATGTCCCTATAGACAGATATTAATTCACTGACAGGCTGAGATCCACTTTCAATTACATTATTCTGCTTCAATCTACTTGTTTTACAGTTACATAATATTATTTACATGCATTGAATCACAACATATTGAAGTCAAGTAGAAAAATAAAGTTAAAAGAAAATAATATACCTCAACATTGCTGGTAATTTGTACATTCCAGTGTCATGTTGTTGGTGTAATTATATACATTGCAGTCTATCAATCGGACGACGTACTTGTTCATGTACGTGTACAGTGACTGGTTGACAAAACCAGTCATTCACACTCAAAAATACAATAATTGTTTGCTGTTATCAAATGTGTATGTGTTAATAAAACACTTATATCTTGCTTTACACCTTAAACGATTCTAACATTTCTACTGATATATGTGTTTTGTTTACTGATTTGCTCAATTACAGTTTTTTATGTATATATACACTGTTGCTTTACAGAGATGTTCTATAAAGAGGTGTTTGCTTTGCAATGATGTGATATTTACATAGGTGTTTGGTTACAGCAGTTTTTCTGTTTACCTCTGTGTTCTGTATATAAAGGTGTTCTGTTTAGAGATTTGTGTGGCTTACTGTGGTGTTATGTTCACAGATGTGTTCAGTTTACAGAGGTATTTGGTTTACATGGTTATTTGTTTTACAAAGGTATTCTGTGTAAAAGTTATCATGTTTATAGAGACATTTTGTTTACATATGTGTTTTGTTTACAGAGGTGTTTTGTTCAAGATGTGTTTACAGGGGTGTTTCATTTATAGAGGTGTTTTGTTCATAGGTGTTCTGTATACAGAAAAGTCTGTTTTACAGATGTGTTCAGTTTACAGAAGTATTAACATAGTTGAACTCTGGTGACCTTGCCCTTTGTTATATAATATAATTCATTTATCATAGTTTGTTTCAATATTGTCATAATTAATTTTGAATACAAACAAGTTTTGGGGTTGGAACAACAATGGGGAATCAGTCTACGGAATGTTCTTAAAAGATGTAAATATCTTACAAAAACATTGGTGCCTTATTTGTAAAAAAAAAAAACACCCTCTATGAATAGCTATCATGTTGCAAGCTCTGCCTTTGTATGCAAATCAACTTAAATAGTTAGTTGGTGTCCAGTGGAGGGAGAAGTCAACAGTACTGTTGCCTCCTGAGAATCTACATCTTCAAACACTGCAATCTTTGTTTTTGAAGTGCGTTTTTAAACTAGTATTATAAAAACTATCATTCTGTTCTAATAGCTGAAACATATTCCTGTGAGTTTTCATTTGTCGAATGAACTGTTTGTCAAATACAGAATACATATATTTTAGTACAATTTTCTTTTCAAAATGTGGATGCAACGTTTTGCTTTTTATGTATTTTGTATGTATTGTTTTTGATTTGATAACTTTGAACTAAACAGATTTTCTATTAGCTTCAGATCTTGATCAAAGTTTGGCACCCAGTTCATAGGAGTGCTTATATTGATTTTCTGACATCTTGTTTTCTGTAAAGATTTTATTTGTAAGTTTGCAAATGTGTATCAAACTGTGTAAAAAATCTCTCCATGAGTTGGTTTTGAAACCCAGTATAGTATTCCCATGGGATTTGGGGGATACATTACCATGAATATTATTACAAGATAAATTATTTGCTTCATTGAACATGTACAACAATGCATATTTCCACTGAGATCAGTGACCTTTGATGATGTGTATCACCAGTGATCAGTCAAGTAGAAACAGTCAAAATATTTTATCAGATTTTCTCAATTTTTGCATGATATTTTCATACAGGACATCTGTTGTTCAAACACAGGGAAGACTTTATACTGATGAATAAGGTGACCAAGTTTGATGAAGTTTGGAATAGAATTAGTAAAGTTATTATGCACACAATAACAATTATTAACGACGAAGACGCTGACGCCAATGACAAAAACAACAACAACAACGACAACGCCGGACAAAATTTTTCCCTTAATATACCTTTCCCTTCCATCTTTGATGGTACGGGCAAGGTAAAAATACATGTTTTTTTCACATATGTTTTTATTTTTATTTCAAAGATATTTTGTTTTTAGGTGTGTTTGGTTTACATCTAGATGTTGAAGCAAATATTCTATTTGTAAAACGTTTGGTGTTCTGTTTGGGAAAGTATTGGGTTTCACCAGGTTTACTGCCACAGCAGATTACAGTTATAAATAACACAAATAAGGTGATTATTTGTTAATACTGAAATAAATAAAATAAAAAATATTAAGAGATAGAAGCAATAACCATGTCATTTATCATGTGATGATACTTACCATTCCCAGGTGGGTTCAACGACCTCGCTTTAACAGATTCTAAAAACATTTCAAAATCATCTTCACCCCCAGCACTGTAAAAGACAACAAAGTAGTAACGTTAGTTATGAATGAAAATCACAATTATGCCAAGTTAATCACAAAGCAATGCATTTTTATATTATTCCTATAATGCAGGTTTTTTTAAACAGGTAGGATATTTGTACAAACAAAGTACAAACAAAAAAAGTTTCGTTTTTCGTCATTGTATGCGTCAATTTTAAACCAAGGCCTCACATATTTGTTACTGTAAAAATACTTTATTTTCACTTGGAATTTACATTCACTATATTTTACGTTCAACTCATCAACAATCAGTGAAAATAAATTCCATACAAACCAAAAAGCCTGTTCAGCGAAAATTAATTCCAGATGAAATAGTATTCTACAGTATTTCACGTATCAGTGAAATACACCAGAATAGAGAGTTTCTGTTTAAGTGGATGTTTTAATGATCCAAATCCACATTTAATGCAACTTTTCTAAAGCACTATTGATAAATGTTACATGTGGAACATTTATTACATGTCTTAATACAAAAAAAAAAAACACTGTTTAATTTTCTCTGAGATGAAAAGCAAAAACTTTTTTTGGTGTACCTTGAAAAAAATATAGATGGCACAAAGAAACTGTTTGTAAAGTGTATTTTTGTGAAGCGTATACATGCTAAATTTAATAAAATCTACACTGACCAAACTAAAAATCCAAATTTTCTATGTATTGTGTTTTCTTGTCCAGTACTTACACATCCCAGTCACTTTCATTTTCTCCTAGCCATCTTTTTGGACCAGTTCCATTGGCTTTGGATTTGCTTTCTTCTAAACGCTTCTGCCTTGCAACTCTGGCTGCCTCCTTCTTTGCCGCAATGTAAGCATCTTCTTCTACCTTCAGGTGACCTTCTTGTCTGTTCAACTATCGATAAAGCATAACAAATAATTTAGTATGGATGACCCTTGACCCTGTAAGCAATTACAGTCTTCACAAGTTAAATTACCATAATTCATCAAGAAGATTTTTCGCACAGTAACAACTAATTTGCAATAGAGAAGAACAACCACCATTACCCTGGTATACTATCATTATTTCTGCAAACATACTTACTGTCAAATACTTTATTTTAGCGGGAATTAATTTTCGCTGAAAAGACTTTTTGGGTGTTTTGTATGGAATTTGTTTTCACTGAGGCCAGACTTTTATTATCCCTTGTTTCGCAAACCCGCCGAATGAACAGGAGCCGAAAATGAAATAAAAATAAAATTTTATTTCAGTTTAATTTCTTGCGCCCGCCGTCCTGTAAGCGCAAAAAATTGCTAAAAAAATATTATTTTTATCTTCATTTTTTTACCGCCCGCCGCATAACAAATCCAAGTTTCATTTTCGTGGGAGTATCATGATCAAAGTACCCAAAGTCTCGCGCAGATGAGAAATAAGGTTGTACATGGAATAAAATTCTATTTCATTTCTTCTCTCCGATCAATGATCTCATTTACAATTCTTTGAGAATCACACAAATCTAATGAAAAAAAAGAATTAATTTTATTTTTTTTCCGCCCTATAAAAACTCGAGAAACAAGGAATAAAAAAAGTCTGGCCTGATTTCTGATGAGTTGAATGTAAAATATATGGAAAAAAGTATATTCACTGGATTATATTTTCACTGAATCATTCCTTTAGCGAAAAGTATTTTACAGTAGTAATTATGCAAATACAGTAAAAACATTTATTTTATGCAAAATAAACATTTGGACAAACATTAGTTTTACAATTAGATTGGCGATTATCAGCCAGTCAGCTTTCAGTGAGTGTATAGCACTCAATATACAGTCTCAATATTACATTCAATATAAAGAGGTTTCAAATATAACATTTTGAATAGAATAGAAGCTTTTTGGGAATATAAAATTGATACAATTCTACTATGTATCAATGTATAACAAAATTATAATGTACCGGTAACCATTGTACTTGAAATGACTACGATGTAAATTACACTGTAGTCGTTTAGCATATCAGCGATCAAAACACAATACTTAAAACCCTTGTATCAATCAAGTCCAATATTTACCAACCACAGTTTGACACACCCTTTTTACTGATTGATGAAATACTAAATTCTGAAAGCAACTGGATAGAAATTACTCAAAGACCACAGCAGAAAGCTTGCTACAATGATGACGACGATAACAACGCAGAAGGCCAAGCGGACATTTTCCACTTCTATACACAGTGCTTCACCTAGCATTACAGGCAAAGCAAAAATGGTTTCATGGGGTTAGTTGTTCAGGAAATATGCCACGTCAAATGAAAACAGAAAGCTGAGCACTGAGATTATATGCTTGTCACAGCTGTTTACCACAACACACGATTTCATCGTAAAACGTGATTCTAATGCAGCTCAAAATAACTCTCTTAATAATAAGTTATTAATCCAGACACAATAAACCATAAATATACTTATTTCAATAAATCCTGTATTTACAGGTACACATCGATAAGCCACTTCAAAATATTAACCTGTTGAACAGCATCGTTTTTCTCACCAACATTTTAGAACATTTTGCACAATTGATTGTATTTTACTATATTTCCCTTTTTTTTTTATTAATATGCTTAACAAATACAATACACAAATACAATACAGAAGTCTACTATATTTTCTGAAATTTGCAACCGAATGGACATACTTTCCCATAGGTGGCCAAACATATTTTTCTTACTTAATGCAAAAAATCTTGCAGGTTTCAGAAAGGTATAAAGTTGAATTCTAATGATATTAACACATTGCCCGTTGCCTCCAAAAATTGCCAAAACAAATAGGAAAAAAACAGTGTCAGCAGACAATTTATTAACTACTGTTATCATTGAAGGATTTTATCTTTCAGAAAAACATAACAAAAATCCAATAGATTTGGTAAAATTTCTAGCCTGTCCAACAAACTGGAACCTCAAGTTAACATAGTGTTCGCTCTACAAGACAAAACAATGCCAGCACCATTCAAACTCAAGACATCATATGCCATCCTACATGAAGTTTTTAAATTCTGTTATTTCTCCTCACTAAGCCGGCTCATTCTATGCATGTTACTAACTTCCACTAAACTATAAGCAGTGCAATGTTTTCTTTCTCATATGAATTAAATTGACTGTGTTACCATGGAAATGAATAATATATTCATAAATATGAGGCTAGAGGGAGTCTACAATGTGTCTACAATGTTTTGTATGGTGAGTTTGCAGCTGTTAACATGCTGCATGCGTGAGCATGCGTGAGCATTTCAAAAAATAAAACAGTTTTCATAGTAAAGTCTGTTTGGTTTAATAAAACAGACAGTAAGAGCAGGTACACAATATAGACACAGAATAAATATTATTCAGACAGACAAATATTAACTCACACCACAGTTTTTGTCCAAAACACACGTTCCGTTCTAATGAAATGTTAATAACATGAGAATGATATATGTAAATGAAATGGTGCTTACCTCCTCATCAATTTGTTCATCAAGTTTGCGTTGGTCTTCCACTATCTTTTGATAATTTCTACTCATTAAATGGTTTCTCTCTGACTCCAAGATAAAACTACCCTGACTGTCTGATGCATCATTCTGCAAAAAATTTACTCAATTTTAATTTCCATAATCACAGACTAAACAGGTTAAATCATAGACTATCAAAGCCATTTATCTCTTTTAAAAAAAAAATCAAATATTTGTAAATTAAAATTAGTTTTACATGACAAATTGTGATTCAAAAACATGCAGAATAAGAAATTTGGGCTGTTTTATTCAAAGCTGACAGAAATTAAGGAAAGTTTCATATATGTTTGACGCTTCCAAATTTTGGCAGGAAAACTACCGTAATTAAAAGTCGAACCATTACTTATTTCTGATCAATTAGTTTCAAACTGACAAATAATTTATGCATAATCAATTAATTAGTTAATTATTGTTTCCAAATTCAGTAATCATTAGTTTGGCAGATATATTCAATTGGGATACAAGTTTTAAAATTTCTTTCCATTAAAAATACTGATCATTCAGATATTACAAAAAACATGCAAATACCGGTACATGCAGTTTTTTATTGATTTTTAATTTGTTGTTGTTTACAAAACAAAAAGAACAGAATATGAATGAGCTTTAGAGCATTCTCATCTGGACATAAAATGAAGTTTAAATCCAACCATTAAGTTTAACACTGGCTATTTGAAGTCATAGCAAAGTAGAAAGAAGTCAGCTCAAATGGAGATGATTTGCTACTTTATACATCAAGGTAAAATCGAGTGAAGGGTATATGATTATAATATCAAACCAGATTTATGTTATAGTAAATGAAATTTCATTTCAAACTAACAAAAACCAGAAATCATAAAAATACAGATTTAAAAGAAATTTGATATTGTAACAATGGTAAGCGAATAAAGAAATTTAATTAAATATTTAGATTATTACTTCCAGTGTTTACTACACATACGGTAATAATACAAACAAGTTTTGTTATAAATCAATGTTTAAGTCTGTAAGATGGCTAAGACTAACCATGTCTGGTAGTGTATAGCTAATCATTAATTAGTTGAGTGTGTTATGGCTGGATGGTGTAACCGATATAAAGGTTGTATGGTGAACAATTTCTTCCATTATGTACGTGTGAGGCAAACTGTTTGTTTTGCACATATGGGCAATATAAATGCAAATCTGATGGCATGGGTTGATCTGAAATGAAAAACTGAAAATGAAAATTATATGAAACTGTAAATGTATGAAGAAAATCTGAATTTGACACCAAAGTCACAGTTCTGAAAATTCCGAGTGTAATAGACCATTTTCCCGTTTACTGCGAGAATCACGCGTTGTGCGTGAAATCGAACGTAAAAACAGGACAAACAAAGGTCATAGCGTCGTAGTGGCATCAAACATCGCGTGGGATTCAACAAACGCGAACATATTTTGGGGGCATTTCCATGCTTAATAATGTGCTGTACACATTTGATGATAGGCAATTTCAATTAAGTGAGGGTATTCAAAAGCAATATTCCTCTGTCGAAGATCGGCCGGTCGATGTGAGCTACGAAATAAAGAAATTCGAGTTCAAAATAAAATCGTTCGATTTTTGCGGCAGACGTTCGACGTGCGTCTTTCATGCATCTCGCAAGATCTCGCAGTTGAACGGAAAATCACTAATTGCTGTCTTTGTCCCATTTTGCTAAACTTGACATGACACTTGACAGTGCAGCAACAAATAATCTTTCATGGTGTCAGATACAGTTGTCAACAACAAAACTCATCTCTGAAATGACAGAGAATGCACTAGCTGTAAATTGTTGCTACTATAAATTGGCATTTAAAATTAAAGACACACATACCAACAGATTCATTGAAAGTCATTGTGTTTCAAGAACCACACAGAAAACTTCACTGCAAAAAATACCACAAACTTCATGAATTTTTTTTAATTTGTATCTTACAAAATTTAAATGGTTTACAAAACAGTGTATAATCCTTTGCATACAAAACATGCATCCATTGATATGTTCTGGTAGGATCTAATGTGGTGAACAATATACATGTATCATAAAAAAAATATGCGTGATCTTTCCCTGGTTCTCTACAAAGTGTACAACCCCGGCTGGTGCTTTGTAATGGCTGGTAGAGAGATGAAATAAACGCATAGCAGATCCTAACACTAAATTAATTACTGAAAAGTAATTATTAAACAGTTTATATATTTGCAGGAGTTATGAACTTTTTTTTCAACTCCCAATGAATCTATAATTATATATAACATTTAAACACTCATGTCATTAATTATAGCATACGTGGAATACATTTTTAACAATTCATACAAATCTGACTGAATTTTATACATCTAAATTTTAAAGGGTTGTCGTCACCATGCATTAAGTTTGATATCAGTCTCATAATAACATCTGGATACTTTGTTTACCCAAAATATGAACATCTACTGATGGTGACCACCATCTCTATGTCTGCTGCCATGGCAACCATCGCCTCTTAAATCAAATTACTGTAAACCATACAATTGTTGTCACATTCCTGCAACTTGTTAGATAATCGGAGGTCTTCACCCTTGGAAAGACTCAGCGAGTAATTATAGATCCCAAAGAACTGTTCACTGTTTTTTTTCAAGACTCACAAAAATGTCATGTCATCAACAAAAACTGTCACATGCATGCATGTTGGAGTACTTGAGATGTGTATGCTAGAAGTGCTTCAGAACATGTGTTTTTGAAATGACAAGACTCAATTTTTTTTTTAAGATAAATGTTGAATTCAAATAATGTGTATTGTATATTTGTATATTGTATTGTATATACATATACCTTTAATACTAGTATTTGGAAGTCACGCCATGAATTTGAGTTCTCACATGACATAATGTTGTTTACTATTATTTACCACCACATTATGCAAATTTGATGTTGCAGGAATATTTACAAGATTTTAAATTCATTGGTTGTATGAAAAAAAACATACATGATAGTTAAATCTAAATAACTAGTAGGTTTTATTTAAACAAATTTTGTTGTCAGTAAAATAAGTGCAAATAAAACCCAGCTAATAATAATGCTCTTTATTGGTTTTGTACACCAAGCTGCGTGACTTGGTATGTCTTTCATTCGGCGGCCAGGCATCCCTAAATAAGGATTATAACTAAACTGATTCCAGACTGAGACTGTGAATAGTAATGAACTAACCGTGTGAATCTGTAAATTTAAAATCAATTAAATCCAAACACTTAAACTGCAGGCTTCCTTACACTGACCACTTAACTGCATGATTCCTCATACTGACCACTTAACTGCATATAAATAATTCCTTACACTGACCACTTAACTGCATATGAACAATTCCTTACACTGACCACTTAACTGCATATAAATAATTCCTTACACTGACCATTTAACTGCATATAAATAATTCCTTACACTGACCACTTAACTGCATATAAATAATTCCTTACACTGACCATTTAACTGCATATAAATAATTCCTTACACTGACCACTTAACTGCATATAAATAATTCCTTATACTGACCACTTAACTGCATATAAATAATTCCTTACACTGACCATTTAACTGCATATAAATAATTCCTTACACTGACCACTTAACTTTAAATAAATGACTTCTTACCTCTTCTACAAGATTCTCAAATTCAATATTAAGTGATTCTCCTTCATAATCATTACGTAAGTATGAGCCAGTCCTGAAATACACAAATGAATGGAATATTAAAAATAGCAGCTAAGAGCTGCAGTGAAGATATCTGAAGTTATGGTCTTTGTAATGTATGTAATTAGGGTCCACGCTTGTACCCTATTGTTTTTTGTTTTTTCTTGGATATTGTTTCCCGTAGAGTTATGAAACTTCTCAAACACATTGCCTATGAGAACTAGTGCACCTAACTTTCAGAATTTTGATTGGTTTGGTCTGATCTGAAATTTGGTTTTAACATCTATGAATAATGTTTTTTGTGATTTTGATTTGGCTGCCATTTTTGATTTCTTATCAACAAGTAGCAGTTTTTTACAGATGCCCCATTCATTCGATTTTGAAATGTGCCATCTTGCATCTTTATAAATAACTCTTTCAGACAGCAAATAATTTGAATCGGTCATGAGATTTTGTCGCCATTTTGAAAAAAAATTTCATGTACGGCCTTAGATTCTTACAAGAAAAATAAATTGTTATAAGTCACATGGTGTGGTCACCACCTTATATTTCTGAAAATGGCGACAAATTGGATCATTTGTATCATAAGAATGATTTAAGCAATCAACTTGCTAATATGCATGTAGCATGTATGACCAGAGCATACCGGGTACTCTGAGAAAAATCACATATATGTCAGTGAGTACATGTTAAGGCATATTCTACTATCTACTACCTTCATAGAAGCTGCACCTCAGGGAGAATGGGCTGCATTTCTATGAGAAGGCTGCATCTCAGAGAGAATGGGCTGCATTTCTATGAGAAAGCTACATCTCAGAGAATGGGCTGCATCTCAGAGAATGGACTGCATCTCAGAGAGAAGGCTGCATCTCAGAGAATGGGCTGCATCTCAGAGAGAATGGGCTGCATTTCTATGAGAAAGCTACATCTCAGAGAATGGGCTGCATCTCAGAGAATGGGCTGCATCTCAGAGAGAAGACTGCATCTCAGAGAATGGGCTGCATCTCAGAGAGAATGTGCTGCATTTCTGTGAGAAAACTACATCTCAGAGAATGGGCTGCATCTCAGAAAATGGGCTGCATCTCAGGTATAGGAGCTGCATCTCAGAGAGAGGGTTGCATTTCAGAGAGAGAGAGCTGCATCTCAAAGATAGGGCTGCATCTCAAAAAGTACATGGTACAGATGAAAACTGCAAACAGTATTACTGGCTTGCTTGTAACTCATAATTAGGTCATGTTTGTATTTACATATACATGTATCAGGTAATCTTTCAAATCAAACAAGCCACCCACCCATAAAATACATTCCCACTGCTATCATTTTGTACATGTACTTCTTTTTAAATACTGTTTAAAAACTATATATAGTGAATACACTACAATGATGACTGCAATATTCCTTTTAAATGAAGAGTTCAGATATTTAAATTATAGCTTTTCAACAACAGGTCTCCAATCACTCAGGCTGAGAGAAATTCACACTTACCTAATCAATAGTCTGGCACTGTATTACAAGTAAAAATTTTTAAAATGCCCATGTTCTGACAAAAATCAAAACTTCTGATCATGCTCAACATTTTTTAAATGAATGTTTTAAAAAATGGCCACAGCTGATCAGGAAAACAAAATTACCTGCACCAAGACACGACAAAGTATTTACAAATTTGACCAAAATGCAGTTCTGGAATGACAGAAATGTTTGATTTTGATGATTTTTTTGTTTTAAAAGATCTTGACTTGAATCATAAATAAAATGGATCTATTCCAAGATCATATAGATGTGTGTTTGGAATACGTTTACATTTGTTTTTTGATCCAGGCATATCTAAGATACATGTAGGCATGCACAGATGGACAGGCAAACACACAGAAAGACAGATTGATGATCATGCAAACAGATGCACAGAAGTAAATCCTAGTTTTCAGACTGTGTTTGAATAGGGCACAATATACCAAAAAAGAGGCAGAGCCACTCATCTAACATTTTAACACCAAAACATTTAATTTTACTTAAAAGCAATAAATTAATAAAACATTTTAGAATTAATGCCCACTGCAAAAGTTTGTTTCCTTATTTTAGGCCCAGAAACTAATATCCCACTTTCTGGTCATCGTACACATCAGTTGGTACAAACCAATATTGGAAAACAATTTTGCAATGAGAATGCCATAGAGGATGAAGAACCAACCAACATGTGATCCATATGCATGACAAATAGCATTTATTGAACACGTGACTTGGAAACTATCAAACACACAGCAACTGGGAAATTGTTAAATGTAGTGGCAAGGATAACTAACAGCATCTCATTTTTGCATTTTATAACTTAACTAGATATTGTATTCAATCAATTAAATTCATCTATTAAATTAGTTACATATTGCACAACAGTCAAATATTTTCACCATGACCAATGTGGATCTCAAAATGATTAAAGTGTTAATGTACTTTGGAGGTGCACTTCCGTGTAAAGATGTAACAAAGATACCTTTCTCACTATAGAAACACAGAAATATAAAGCCAGGATTTAGTATTTTGTATATCATTAAATGAATATGTAGATTTATTTACTGTATTCATTCAGAAGATAAATTTTTAATAATTTGTCTTTTGAACAACAAATGTTTGATTAACCGTTGTGATAAGCAAGCATGAATTCTACTTGTATCTATTAGCAGTTATATGTTAGTAATCCACACTGCAAAGACAACAGTTTGGCTGCAACAGATCATTTCTATATACATTTATTTTGTTAACTTTGGATTTTTAAATGACAATTTCGTTATATGCCATAAAGGGTCATTCAAAAATAATTAAATTGTTTCAAACAGCTGGTGTTTCATTTATCTTGGTTATTAATTTTATTTATACCATTTCATCAAATGTTTACAATGCGAAATGATATTCAAAATTTTTTAATTAACCCCTGCTTGAATCCTTGATCAGAGTGTGTAATCTCTTGAATGTGGTTAGATTTCATACCAAAATAACTGCCTGTACTCGAAAGCTAGTTGTAGCTAATGTGGTCAATGTAGATTTAATAAAGAAAATCCCTGCAACATAACCGCAAAACGACTGAAACCAGTTTGGAGTATGTACCACTCTATCGGCAAATCTATAAACGGATTAAGTTTGTCAAAACATCAAACAGGGCTGGGCGTGATACGGAATATTATTGCATGGCTTGCTCACCAGGTTTATCATAGCGTTACAAGGCCAGCTATACAAGGTATATGATAATCCTGTAGTATCAAGCACTGTACAATAGGTTGACTATATACCTACAAATATACATACACCAAAGCCTGGCTCATATCACGGTAGACAAAATAATGTAGCTTTGAGAGAAATAAAACACAAACACCATGTACCATACCATACAATTGCAACCATGTCACTGATTACAGAAAGCACAAAAAGCTTTATTGAAAGATATACTGCTATATCTTCCTTGTACCTCTATGTAATGTAATATTTTGTGCTGTATGTCTATATTATTGAAACGAAATAAAAATATTGTTTAAATAAAAAAAAAAGAAGCTATACTGCAAGCATGACTTGTGCGTAATTCAATTAAATGATTGCCGAATGAATTGAGAGCTTGTTGAAAGTAGACAACAGCGTGGGTTTATACACACGGTATATGCATGTACCAAACCATTGGATTATTTACGTCGGGTCAGTGTCAGGTTCTAGAAGATGTGAGATTTAGGGTTAGGGCTTCTCAAGACCCAGACCCTCTTCCATCTTCTTTCCTCCTTCTAATTACAGTCAATACACATCGGTTCCTACATTTTTAGGAATATATTATTCACATTTTATATTTTTAATCAAAATTCTAAACAACTGTGATCGAGATGAACGTTGGCCGGCCAGGAAGACAATGTATCTTATTTGCTTCAATTATTTGACCTATTTTAAAAGTGTTTATTATTGCACGCTTCAGAATATATTTTAATGATATAAATCACAAAATGTTAGGCATTTCATTATTTGTACATCGAGCGGTCATGGTATGTGTTTATTTAATACGCACGTCAATATTCGTTGCTCGATACGATCTGTCCTTGCCAACTTGGCTCGATTGTCGTTTTAGAATGTCACGACCATCTTCCGTTCAAACGTGAGTTAAAATAATTCACAATAAATTTTCCATACCTACTCTTCGTAGTACCAAAGCACAAATCCCAACAATTCCCCATCACTTCCACTCTATTATAAATAATCACCAAATATTTCCCCTTTTCAGCAACATCATCACAACACAGAGCAATACGCGTAGATATTCATGCGCAGTAATCATTACGCGCATCAGCCCAGTCAGTATCACAAGATCCGAGTAACTGACCACCTGACTAAAGTGCAAATGTCAAAGTTCACAGTGCAAAACCAAATAATATTATCGTTTCGCACATTAAATGATAATTGTACGGCAAAAATATAATACCGGACATCTCTATCTTCAATACTATCATAGTATTATCATAAAATAAATAAATATTTCCCACTGTCAAACATTAAACGATAACCTTATATAATTAAATAAATCTGTTTAACATGATTTTATATTTAGCTAAACGCGTAAACTAAATTTTTATTCGTGATGTCTTGAACCCTTTTCATTCACCCGCCATGGTTTCATTCGATAGAGGTTGACTTATTATTTACCAATGTTTTAACCGATGTGTATAAGTTTTTAAGTTGATAAAGATGACGTCATCAGTGACAAGAATATTGATTGTTGGCGCTGGTTTGACTGGTGCCGTGACTGCGTCCATTTTACGACGAGAATTGAGAGAACAAGTAAAAATTGTAGTCTTGGATAAAAGCAGAGAAGCAGGTAATAAATGAACTTAACACTAATATAATAATATTTAGCTCAAATAATCGAAAATGGAAAAAAAAAATAACTTGGAATACTATTACTGTGAAATACTTTATTTTAGCTGGAATTAATTTTCGCTGAAAAAGCTTTTTGGGTGTTTTGTATGAATTTATTTATTTTCACTGATTTTTGATGAGTTGAATGCGAGACATAGGGAAAAAAGTATATTGGCTGGATTTTATTTTCACTGAAGCATCCCTTCATCAAAAATAGCAAAAATAAATTTCAAGTGAAAATAAAGTATTCTACAGTATTGAAAAATATGCGGCGCTATTTCAACCAAGGGTAGCTAAAGCCAAATGGTATCTTAGTGTAATAGATAACTTATTTAAATAATTTTATGTGAGATTGTATTACGATTTAATTATATACCCTATCACAGTCCCTCTATCACTGTGACCCTTATTTATAAAATATGTTTTTGAAATGCAGTCCCTCACCTCTTGGCTATTACCAGTATCACTGATAATATCGCTGTGATTCACATATACCCAAATTCGGGTTCCCCTGGCGTCTCTAATAAATAGCCTATCTAGCTGCTGGACTGAATTAATGATGTTATCAAAAAATCATAGAAGATTGGGCAAAAATTTTGGTATCAATATTTTTTTTCACTCAGAAGCGCAAGGGCTATAAGACTCGATTTTCAAGGACTAAGTTGTTTGGATCGGACGGTTTCATTGTTTTGAGTTCGTTGTGTGTCTAGAAACATAACAACGTTGTTTTTTGGGGGGAATCAACAACATGTTCTGTTCTAATAAAGGATCATGATATGTCATTCAAAATATTTTAACAATTCTTTATTGGAAAGTCTTCTGTATAATTAGTTCTCAGTTCTCCAAAATTTGACAATGGTACTAGCCCAGAATGGACTTCCTGTTCAGTGCATCTTTGATTGTAGCAATGATCACACGACTGTACGTAAAGATGCACACTCATGGAACTCGGCATCATTCACTTGAGCGCTTTACTTGCATTGATAGATGCAAATAGATGGAGACACCCGTTGCATCACTCATTACGATCTATGATCGATAGCTGTAGTTTAAAGAAGAATAAAAGGTTAAAAAAAAGAAATAAATAAAATAAAATAAAACAAACTAAGCTAATACATTACAGAGTAAAAATATTAAGACTAAATACTATAAAAAGATAGAAAACAAAATGCAAAACTTAATTAAACTGTGAAAGAAGATTGTAGTTAGTGTTCATTTCAATGTATAATAATAATATTTTATTTGCCTTTGAAACGAGTAAAAATTAACATACAAGTCAACAACAACAAGAAGAAAAAAACCATAAAAGCATTCATGCATGTATGTCATTCAGTTTCTTGTTTCTGAATTTTGATAAGCGAGTGAGAAAGTTTCGGATTTCTTTTGATGTATTATTTCCCAAATCCTTATTGATTGCCTATAAAGCATCACTGAAGAGAAAATTAAATTTGAAATTAATTCCTCCTGAAATAAATCTACTGGTATCTATAATAATTGGTTCTCCACCACTTTCTACTATTGTATTGGTCAGTGCTGAACAGACTTCACTTCTCAAGTGGTTAGTTGATTTGCAAAGAAATAAAAAGTGATAAACATCCTCCTATCCATCATTACAAAGCTTACATACCTCGTCATCTTTATAATTTTCCCATCCTGTTTTTTTCCCTTCCAAGTCTATTGCCATGATGATCATATGGATCCTTTATATAATTTTTTTTTTATTGTTGTGTTTAATCCAACCATAGTGCTTTAGGGATTTTGTATCTTGAATAGTTTCAACAAAATGCTTTATTTATTTATTTATTTATTTTTCTCACTAATTTTATAGAAACCTTTTAATCCAACTAACATTGTGCGGTCTTTTTAGGCCATAAACTTGATTCATATCATTTTAAATTAGAAAATTGTTGAAAATTCATGAAATTTAGAGACAACTATTTTGACCCACCTGGTATTATTCATCTTTTGTAATCTGTCCAAATACTGTATTCGCCATCCTAGAATTCCCAATACTGCTGGGCATGCTACATTCCTGTTAACTTTAATAGGGTCCATAGCATTGGGAAAATCCTTTGAAAGTCTTTGGATTTTTTGAGGTCTGGAAAGCCTTTGAGTTGTTTAAATTACAGGAAAATTAAAAAAATCTTTGAAAAGTCATTAAATTTCTTCATAGTTATTAATTCATTTTAGAAAGGCCTGTTTTCTCCAGGGAACTACCATATCATCAGAACTTTGATGAGCTTTGGTGATGATGTTGGCCTGAATTAATGGTCAATATGTCTTGGGAAAAATGCAAGAAAGTTTGGGAAAAGGTCTGGAAAAGTCTTGGAAATCATTTGGCTCTTGGTGCTATGGACCTCGTTTAAAGAAAAACTTGCCTGGATGTTAAGTTTGTTTTTTATTCACTGTACTTTCTGACAGCCATACACTATATCCATAGTTAATTGATGGCATGATTATATTTTGCAACAGGACATCACTATATCCAACCCTAATGTAATGTGTCAACATTTGTAGTTCTCAATTTCTGCATGTGAAATTGTTTCGATGCCGGGACAGTGATGGCGACAGATTTCTGTTGCTCTCTTGACATCGGCAACTGACTTTTATCCTTTTATTTTTACTTATTTGGGATTTTTTTGGCCACATTTTGTATATGCCAGTCAGATACAAGTAAGTAAACAGACTGGATCAACATGGAACTCAAAAGAAGAAAGTCATATCGATAAATTTACAATTCCAAGAACACAAAACAAACGACTGACCACAGTGATAGAGGGACTGTGGACTGACAACAATCAAAAACACATTCCACAAAAATCAGTAAGAGAAAGATATATCACAGTCCCTCTATCTGTAGATATATGGACCCCATGGTATGCATACAAATGTAAATACAAAATAAATGTCAGTGAATAAAATATTTGCAAAAAAAGTCCTGCAGCCCCAATATAAATCTTATTTATTAGGATCCCTGTATGAAGTTACAGGGATAGGAACAATGCATAATTATGGCAAGGAAAGGCAATGTTTTTTTTTTCTGTTCAAGTTATGTAATAAATTTTCTTCCTAATATTTGATGGGTATTTTTGTGAGTGTACACATATGTACTAAAATATATACACCCATTAGAATCATCAAAAATACACATGCCAATGCTGTGAAAGTATATCTAATTGGTGGTGGGAATTAACTGCTATGCCAGTTAGCTATAAAATGCCTATGGAGTTGTGAACAAATATTTTGGTGAGTATCGCTGACCACAAAAGATACCTATCGCGAAGTGTCTATTTTATATAATAAATATTCTTGTGGCTGCTACTTCAAATATTGCAACTGAGTTCAAGACAAAATTTTTATTTTCTAAAAAAAATCATATTCTGATTTTATCAAGATGCATTATGCAACACTTGTTATTCATTTTCACATGTTTAGGTGTACTGGTGGTATAAATTGATAGTATGTATGGTATTTTTTTCGTTTAATAGTTAAAAAAACAGATGACAAATATATCTGCATTTCTATTTTGTAGGAGGTCGCATGAGTACGAGTCGATGTCCTGAAGATGTCAGATGTACAGCTGATCTAGGAGCTCAATATATAACACAGACATCTATATATGCCAAACAACATGCAAGGTACATTTGGATAAAAAGAAACAACAACAATATTACTAATTTCTGATCACTCCTATTGGTCGGACTATGAACAAATATTTTTAGAGGCCTCTGAATTGTGAGGCAAAAAAAAAATAAATTGTGTGTTTTTAAAATATTAATATGCACTCCAAAAACGGGGTAGGTTCCGATTTTTATTTCCTTCATTGGACATAAATAACTTGCGCTAACATGCTAATTACTTAACCAAACCTATGACCAATGATGTTTATAGTAAAACGTTCCCTATTTGGTCAAAATTCTGTATAATAATTTCTTCAGTTCATTCTTCAAGTCTTATTGAAAAGTTGCATGATTTTGCACCATTTCTTCATGCTTGGCCAAGACAAGTTCAGGATAGGTAATAAATGTTAGGTAGACTAGAGTAACAAAACCACACATATTTTTTATTTGGCCTTAGAAGAAAAATTAAATTTTTTGAAAAGTCAAAAAGGTCAAATATATATTTTTTTTTGATAGCGTCAATGTGTGGACAAAACAACTTTAATTGTTTACTGTACAATTTTAAATTGAATGTACAAGTAGTTTGATTGCTAAAGAAAAAACAAACTTAGTTTATTTTTCCCATGGGGGTTTGTGGAAATCCTGAGTGGTAATTAAATTGCAGTCAAATAGAAATGTTATGGAACATTGTGTTTTTTTTGAGTGTTAGTGAATTTGAAAATTAAAAACATAAAACTGCCAATTCACACATTCAGTTGCATTTATTTTAAGTTTGACACTTCAAATTAAAACTTTAAATTAAAATCGTGTTTTCACTGGTGATATAATCATGAGGTAATTATTACTTAGGAAAGACTAGAATAGTTTTTTCCAGAGTAGATCAAATTTTTTTTTTAGAAATTTTGGTCACTGAAAGGTTACTTCTACTTCAGTGATATGCTGTATATTTTCCAATTTCAGTTTTTATGAGGAGCTTCTCTCTAATCACATCATAGAACCTTTTGTTGGTATGATTGAGGGAGAGAAACCAAGTGAAGATGACAAAAGAAACTATATTACGCCTGATGGAAGCAATACTGTTGTGAAATACTTTTTAAATCAAGCTGGTGAGTTAAACTCCTGCTATGATTTTTTAGTCCCACTTTAATATATCCAATTGCTGTCATTTGAAATTGAAGCAATAAATATTTTGCATGAATTGAATATTTCAGAGACATGGTTGTAATAGTTTCACTATGTTAATTTGTAGATGGGCAAGTCACTTATAACAAGACTGTTTGTAAAGTTGATGTTCAGGAAGAGAATGGAAAATCCTGTCTCCATGCAACGACGGAAAACGAAAATGAAAAGATGGGTTTATTTGATATTGTTGTAATAACCGTGCCTGTACCACAAGCCATAAAGATAGGGGGTATTGTTCAACAAGGCTTAGGTGAGTCATGTAGGTACTGTTGTATTAATAAAGTTGATAAAACAATCAGTATTTCATGCATAATATTACTGTATAATTCATACTGCCTTGTTAGTCCCGATTCAGACGAAGTCTGAAAACAGGGACTTATGGATTGACCTCTGTGCGTCCGTGTGTGCATGTGTGCGTCCGTCCGTCCGAACCTGTATATTAGACATGCCTGGACCAATTTTTCATCAAATATCTGGCATTTATGGATAGATTTTGTTCAAACGTATAACATAAATGAGACATTACGGGTTCCTGATGCACGTCATTTTCGATTCAAATTCAAAATATACCACTGTGGCAAGTTCATAACTGTAATAACTCTTGGAATTACGTATTAAGTTTCATCTAAGTAACCAATCACCGAGCATTGAAACAAGGCACCATACTCAATTGCCAAAATGAAATGTTGTTTTCTCTGTACCACAAATCAGATATAAGATGACTAACATTTTGTTATGTCTTGCCCTGTCTATGCCCAACAAAGAAACATTCTATTCATGGAAGCAGGGAACATATCTACACATTTTAGTCAAGTGAATCATGTGACCAATTCAGATTTATTTTGAGCAATAAATCCCTTTAGACCAATATTTGCAAATCTGTTTTGAATCTAAATATCAAAAGCTTCTTGATATTGATGTCACTCAACAACCTTCTTACTTCTCAAATTGTCTACTGTCTAATTTAGACTTGGCAACCACTGTCTGAAAATTGAAACAGGCCGGCATATAGGTTTGGATTTTAAAGACAGAGGCTGCAATATGTGCGACAATGACCATGTTGAAGATGAACAACATTTTGTCACAAATTGTCCTCATTACAACGAAATAAGATCAAAACTTTACATTGTAGCTAATAAATGTATACCAAATTTTGACAAATTTAGTAATGAAAATAAATTCATATCATTACTAAGTAACGAGAAAATGTCAATTCCTTTAGCACAATATTTAAAAAACTGTTTTAATACAAGACAGCAGCACCTACATAAACTAAGCCAGTAACACATTCCATGTATACAAATTTATCTTTCTTTTTTTTTTTAATGCTTTTTTGTTCCCTTACTTTTTATGTAGTTATTTTTCTTTTACTAATATTTGATTTGTAACCCTTTTCATCCCCTCCGGGGGATGTTGTGTGTTAATAAATAAATAAATAAACTCATGTCTATTTTTTTCAGTTTGTTTGTTTTATCTGTTTTTTTAGTTTTGACTATTTCAGTTGATATATAGAAGATAATAT